ACTCATACGGATGAAGGAGAATTTCATGAACATTGCTCCAGACTTCCACCTTGGATTTTCTCTAAATTTTTCGAGGATGGTCCTGGGAGTGTAAACTCAAAATAAGATGAATCAAATCGGATGAACAAATGAAATTTTGGAAACATTAGGGCCTGGTCGGAATATCCGCGACTCGACTCATATGGATGATGGGGAATTTAATTCCACCTTGGATTTTCTCTAAATTTTTCGAGGATGGTCCTGGGAGTGTATAATCAATATAAGATGAATCAAATCGGATGAACCAATAAAATTGTGGAAACGTTAGGGCCTGGTCGGAATATCCGCGACTCGACTCATATGGATGATGGCTAATTTCATCAACATTGCTCCAGCCGTCCATTTTGGATTTTCTCATTCTTTGAGGATAATCCTGGGAGCTAGGGCTCATCTTTGATTGGTCGATACGCTGTTTTGTCGTCTCTCTCTCTCTCGCACTCATTGGGCGGATGCCGCACGTCGAAGACGACCACTCGGCTTCGCCAAGCCGCCCTTGTATCGTCCATCTCTCTTGCACTCATTGATCAGATGCAACATTCAGCGGCTCGTCAAAGGGACACCTGGCGCACACACACACTCGCAAAAATACAGGCTGCGCCTCGTAATTTGGTCCGCGGTGGTAGTGCGCGGGGGAATTCCGTTGCCGGCAAAAGCACCCAAGTTCTTTCCGAGCTTGAGCCCGGGAATGAACGGCCGTAAACGGGGAGCAGGGCTCATCTTAGATTAATCGATACGCTGTTTTGTCGTCTCTCTCTCTCGCACTCATTCTGCAGATGCGGCACGTCAAAGGAGACCCCTCGGCTTTGCCAAGCCGCCCTTGTATCGTCCATCTCTCTCGCACTCATTGATCAGATGTACCATTCCGCGGCTCCTCAAAGGGACACCTGGCGCGCACACACACTCGCAAAAATACAGGCTGGGCCTCGTAATTTGGTCCACGGTGGTAGTGCGCTGGGGAATTCCGTTGCCGGCAAAAGCACTTAAGTGCTTTCCGAGCATGAGCCCGGGAAAGAACGGCCGTGAACGGGGAGCAGGGCTCATCTTGGATTGGTCGATACGCTCTTTTGTCGTCTCTCTCTCTCGCACTCATTGGGCAGATGCGGCACGTCAAAGGAGACCACTCGGCTTTGCCAAGCCGCCCTTGTATCGTGCATCTCTCTCGCACTCATTGATCAGATGCAACATTCCGCGGCTCGTCAAAGGGACACCTGGCGCACACACACACTCGCAAAAATACAGGCTGGGCCTCGTAATTTGGTCCGCGGTGGTAGTGCGCTGGGGAATTCCGTTGCCGGCAAAAGCACCCAAGTGCTTTCCGAGCGTGAGCCCGGGAAAGAACGGCCGTAAACGGGGAGCAGGGCTCATCTTGGATTGGTCGATACGCTGTTTTGTCGTCTCTCTCTCTCGCACTCATTGGGCAGATGCGGCACGTCAAAGGAGACCACTCGGCTTTGCCAAGCCGCCTCGGAATCGTCCATCTCTCTCGCACTCATTGATCAGATGCAACATTCCGCGGCTCGTCAAAGGGACACCTGGCGCACACACACACTCGCAAAAATACAGGCTGGGCCTCGTAATTTGGTCCGCGGTGGTAGTGCGCTGGGGAATTCCGTTGCCGGCAAAAGCACCCAAGTGCTTTCCGAGCGTGAGCCCGGGAAAGAACGGCCGTAAACGGGGAGCAGGGCTCATCTTGGATTGGTCGATACGCTGTTTTGTCGTCTCTCTCTCTCGCACTCATTGGGCAGATGCGGCACGTCAAAGGAGACCACTCGGCTTTGCCAAGCCGCCTCGGAATCGTCCATCTCTCTCGCACTCATTGATCAGATGCAACATTCCGCGGCTCGTCAAAGGGACACCTGGCGCACACACACACTCGCAAAAATACAGGCTGGGCCTCGTAATTTGGTCCGCGGTGGTAGTGCGCTGGGGAATTCCGTTGCCGGCAAAAGCACCCAAGTGCTTTCCGAGCGTGAGCCCGGGAAAGAACGGCCGTAAACGGGGAGCAGGGCTCATCTTGGATTGGTCGATACGCTGTTTTGTCGTCTCTCTCTCTCGCACTCATTGGGCAGATGCGGCACGTCAAAGGAGACCACTCGGCTTTGCCAAGCCGCCTCGGAATCGTCCATCTCTCTCGCACTCATTGATCAGATGCAACATTCCGCGGCTCGTCAAAGGGACACCTGGCGCACACACACACTCGCAAAAATACAGGCTGGGCCTCGTAATTTGGTCCGCGGTGGTAGTGCGCTGGGGAATTCCGTTGCCGGCAAAAGCACCCAAGTGCTTTCCGAGCATGAGCCCGGAAAAGAACGGCCGTAAACGGGGAGCAAGGCTCATCTTGGATTTGTCGATACGCTGTTTTGTCGTGTCTCTCTCTCGCACTCATTGGGCAGATGCGGCACGTCAAAGGAGACCACTCGGCTTTGCCAAGCCGCCCTTGTATCGTCCATCTCCCTCGCACTCATTGATCAGATGCAACATTCCGCGGCTCGTCAAAGGCTAGTCAAAGGGACACCTGGCGCACACACACACTCGCAAAAATACAGGGTGGGCCTCGTAATTTGGTCCGCGGTGGTAGTGCGCTGGGGAATTCCGTTGCCGGCAAAAGCACCCAAGTGCTTTCCAAGCTTGAGCCCGGGAAGAATGGCCGTAAACGGGGAGCAGGGCTCATCTTGGATTGGTCGATACGCTGTTTTGTCGTGTCTCTCTCTCGCACTCATTGGGCAGATGCGCCACGTCAAAGGAGACCACTCGGCTTTGCCAAGCCGTCCTTGTATCGTCCATCTTTCTCGCACTCATTGATCAGATGCAACATTCCGCGGCTCGGAGAAGGGACACCTGGCGCACACACACACTCGCAAAAATACAGGCTGCGCCTCGTAATTTGGTCCGCGGTGGTAGTGCGCTGGGGAATTCCGTTGCCGGCAAAAGCACCCAAGTGCTTTCCGAGAGTGAGCCCGGGAAAGAACGGCCGTAAACGCGGAGCAAGGCTCATTTTGGATGGGTCGATACCCTTTTTTGTCGTGTCTCTCTCTCGCACTTATTGGGCAGATGCGGCACGTCAAGGGAGACCACTCGGCTTTGCCAAGCCGCCCTTGTATCGTCCATCTCTCTCGCACTCATTGATCAGATGCAACATTCCGCCGCTCGTGGAAGGGACACCTGGCGCACACACACACTCGCAAAAATACAGGCTGCGCCTCGTAATTTGGTACGCGGTGGTAGTGCGCTGGGGAATTCCGTTGCCGGCAAAAGCACCCAAGTGCTTCCCGAGCTTGAGCCCGGGAAAGAACGGCCGTAAACGGGGAGCAGGGCTCATCTTGGATTGGTTGATACGCTGTTTTGTCGTCTCTCTCTTTCGCACTCATTGGGCAGATGCGGCACGTCAAAGGAGAACACTCGGCTTTGCCAAGCCGCCCTTGTATCGTCCATCTCTCTCGCACTCATTGATCAGATGCAACATTCCGCGGCTCGGAAAAGGGACACCTGGCGCACACACACACTCGCAAAAATACAGGCTGCGCTTCGTAATTTGGTCCGCAGTGGTAGTGCGCTGGGGAATTCCGTTGCCGGCAAAAGCACCCAAGTGCTTTCCGAGCATGAGCCCGGGAAAGAACGGCCGTAAACGGGGAGCAAGGCCCATCTTGGATTGGTCGATACCCTTTTTTGTCGTGTCTCTCTCTCGCACTTATTGGGCAGATGCGGCACGTCAGAGGAGACCACTCGGCTTTGCCAGCCGCCCTTGTACCGTCCATCGCTCTCGCACTCATTGATCAGATGCGGCAACCCGCGGCTCGTCAAAGGGACACACACACACACTCGCAAAAAGATAGCCTGGACCTCGTAATTTGGTGCGCGGCGGCAGTGGCGAGCCCGACACCGGGTGCCCCGAAAAAGCACCGGAGTGCTTTCCGACCATGAGCCCTGGAAAGAACGGCCGTAAACGGGGACGAAGGCTCAACTGGGATTGGTCCATACGCTGTTTTGTCCTTTCTCTTTCTCGCACTCATCATTGCTCAGATGCGGCACGTCAAAGGAGCACACTCGGCTTTGACAAGCCGCCGTTTTATCGTCTATCTCTCTCCCACTCATTGATCAGATGCGGCAACCCGTGGCTCGTCAAAGGGACACACACACACTCGCAAAAATACAGGCTGGGCCTCGTTATTTGGTCCGCGGTGGTAGTGGCGAGCCCGAATCCGGGTAGCCCGAAAAAGCACCGGAGTGCTATCCGACCATGAGCCCTGGAATGAACGGCCGTAAACGGGGACTAAGGCTCAACTTGGATTGGTCCATACGCTGTTTTGTCCTTTCTCTCTCTCGCACTCATTGCTCAGATGCGGCACGTCAAAGGAGCACACTCGGCTTTGACAAGCCGCCCTTGTATCGTCCATCTCTCTCGCACTCATTGATCAGATGCGGCAACCCGCGGCTCGTCAAAGGGACACACACACACTCGCAAAAATACAGGCTGGGCCTCGTTATTTGGTCCGCGGTGGTAGTGGCGAGCCCGAATCCGGATACCCCGAAAAAGCACCGGAGTGCTATCCGACCATGAGCCCTGGAATGAACGGCCGTAAACGGGGACTAAGGCTCAACTTGGATTGGTCCATACGCTGTTTTGTCCTTTCTCTCTCTCGCACTCATTGCTCAGATGCGGCACGTCAAAGGAGCACTCTCGGCTTTGACAAGCCGCCGTTTTATCCTCTATCTCTCTCCCACTCATTGATCAGATGCGGCAACCCGCGGCTCGTCAAAGGGACACACACACACTCGCAAACACGAAAACATTGTTTAATCGCCTTTCACCTTATCGCAGGAGGATGTAAGATGTGCATAACCCCAATCTTGCTCGCTGATAACAGCCATCTTGTTTGTTAATTTACGGCGCTAAGAGCATCGTGTTCTCTGATCGTGTTAGCCTATTCGCATGCGACCAATGAAAAACCGGAACAGAAATGGCCATACTCTGTCTTTAAAGGCACTCTACAGTACTGCAGGTAGTTTGTTTCGCCTCTATACGCAAAAGTTATTTCGGTGTAAGTTTGTTTATCATGTGTTGGCAAGTTTTTGAAAGGGTAAACAAAAGTTTGCCGGAATACGTGCCGGTGGAATTCCTTTTTCCGATGAATATTCTTCAATGTATGAATTTATTGTTGTATTTCCTTAAATCTTACAATGGCTTTCTTCCACTCTCGGAGTAATTTTTCTATTCAAGAAGAACTTTAAGTGTCTCCTCGGATCACCTTTCAATCTCCTTATCACTAGGTACTTTATGTACTTTTCCTTTATTTGTTTTAAAGTTCCAAAAATTTTTGAAGATGCAAGAAGTCTGCGAAAATTTCAGAGTAGCTGTAGAGATGGGAAGAACGGACATTGTCAAATCAACATTGGATGCATGTAAGTTTTTCATTGATGATCTCTGTACTTAAGTACTCTGCTAAGTAAGTTTGTCCTGGAATGTTTGAGAGGACAGCCTTTCAAGTCTGGTCGATAGGAATAAGTAGGCAGTTTATTCCACCTGGTTTTACATTTCTGGGTACTTAGAGGCTAAGGATTTTTTGGTCGCAACCATAAGCAATAAAGTGCTCTATATCTCCAGCCAACCATCCATTTTGTTAAACCTTAAGGCTGCACCTTAATGGTCATCCAATTTTGAAGCTCACTCCCTAGATTCGATAAACAAAATTCCTTCATGTAAAAGTGAGGTTTTCCGAGATGAAAGTGGATGTACTTGACACCATTACAGAATTGGGCAGGTGTATAACACAACTTTTCTCATCTCAGAAAATCATCCTTTTATTTTTTTCATCTTAATCAAAGCTCCAATAAGTAGCTTTAAGTCCTTTGACCTCAAATGCATGATCTCAACTTTTCTTGGGAAAAAGCAGCGATTTGAGGTCAGACCTTAATGATAGGATCATTTACATCTTTCCCCGACCACCAGAGGTGGCCTGGTACCAAAAAATAAGGACCAGGAACACCGGCCTATCAGAGCTCGGATTGGCCCAGTTATTTTATGCTGTGTCGACAAGACAAACCGGCCCTAATTCACCTTAAATTTTGACCGACCGATCAGGACTTTGCTCGTTGTTTCCGCCTGTCTGTCGGCTCTTGCCGACTACCCTTTGAATTGCTATCGTGAAAAGTTGCTCCTACTAATTAAATTTCTTCGACCTATACCTATATCTGCATGTTGTCGTCCTTTTGTTACTCTAATATTCATCTTTCAGTTTTCACCTTAGTTTCTTTAGAATCTTATCTGGAAATGTCTGTTTCAAGCAAGTCCTTTGAAATTGAACTTACTTATTTTTCATTCTTTTCTACTACAGGTCCTCTTGATTGTCCTGATGAAACTTCTGACAAGCCAACCAAGAGGAAACTTCTGAATGTACCCTTCACAGAAGTTGGAACTTATCTAGCTCTTGCAACAAAGGTATAAGAATTTTTTTTTTTTTCAAAAACTTTGGGATCTACCAGTTGGTGGAACTTACAGCATAGTCTAAACATTTAAAGTAATAACTGAGTACCACCGATAGTTTGTTGCTCAATCTTATTTTAGGAGCCCTGTGAAGATAGGAGCAACAAACTTCAAAATTGAAAATGTGTATGGCCGTGCGGCCATAAAAAGTGCTTAATCTTGAAATTGTTGAAAGTAAATAACTTATTTCAGGTGTGATGCAGGATTTTAGGTGTTTTGGACCCTGATAGCAACTCTCTATAAACTTAGAAAAACATTTTTTTTAAAGATCTCATAACTTCATAAACAGTTCATGTAAAAATGTTCAGCATTTCACCCCTAAAAACCCTGGGGGAGGGGGAAGGTTCTTAAATAAAAACTATCACATCCCAGATTTCAGAATTTTTCACTCTTCATACTAAACGGCTCCTAGAATAAGACAATGCTAAAATACTGCAGATGGTATGCTGGTCTCGTAGTAATGTTTAACCCCACTGTTTCTCAAATTAAATTTTCCTGGTAAAATTGTTTAATCTTTGAATTTACTACATAATTTTGATTGTCTAGGTAAAGAAAAAAATTACTGAAAGGATGTAATGACAGTGTTTTATGATTTCAGTTGAATCACTGCGATGTTGTGCGAGCTTTATTGTCTGAGGGAGCCGACCCAAGTGTCAAAAATGAACAGGGTTTGAATAGTTTTGATTATGCTAAATCAGAAGAAATGGTACAAGTATACATCAAAGAGCTACTTCAAGCCACTGGCAACTGTTTGTAAGTCAGCTCAATTTTTTTGTTTATCAAATTCTTTTCTCTTTTTAAAGGTATACATGCCTAATTATCATCAATTTGTCAACAAATGAATACTAAATTCTTATGTTTTATCAAATTAGGTATATCTTTTCCTTATGCCTCTCACTTGATCTTGGCGAATTAATTAAGGGGAAAATTCTGTTTTATGAAGACGACTAATTGATTTTGAAGTTAATTTTTCACTCAACAATTTTTCAAACTTGTTTTCTTTTTACCAACAGATTAGATCGAATGATGTGTGTTCTTAATGCCGGGGTGAGTCCAAACTGTTGGGACACTCACAGTGAGCAAAACACACCACTCCACTGGGCAGCCTGCTATGGTAGCAAGGCCACAGTTGCTTGTCTTATAGGTACTAAGTTATTTCACACTATTGATTCTCCAAGTGCACTCATGCTTGAGATTATTTTTTTCCCATGTGTATTCAATTTCATTCAACCACAGATTGCTACTTTTTCCTGTCTCCATTCATATAGTGAATTAAAAGTAAAAATGTGTGTATATTTTTGAATTAATGTAGCTGAGGCTCTTACTATCGAAACAAATTGTGTTGAGAAAACTTAGAGGAAACATTAAGATGGGAGACTGGTTGCTGTGTCAAAGCAATACGCTTGGCTGGTATCAACTATTCATGGTTGTTTAGCCTTGTAGCGATGCTGTTACGTGGCAGATGCATTATTTCTATTACTAGCTTGTTTTCTCTTCTAAGTGGAGCACACTCTTAACACTTTTTAATCTCATCCCGATTTCAGATGCAGGCGCTAATGTGAACTCAATGAATGCATATGGCACAACCCCACTACACGATGCAGTCAATCGGGGCGATAGGGAAATTGTTGAAGAGCTTCTTAAACATGGTGCAGATCCTTTGAAGCTAGATAAATCTGCCACCCCAAAATCGCCTCTCGATATGGCCACAGCTAGGTCTCCGCACTTACTCCCATTGTTTCAAAAATATTCTGCAGGTGTGTTGTATTTTGTTTTCACCTTGTTTATCAATGGAAAAATCAGGTGTCTCCAGGTCTGGTAAACAGGGAGGGATAGGAGGGAATTGTCAGGGAGTTTCAGCAGATCAGGGAAATTAGGGAGCAGTCAAGGGATTCTCTGCATAATTCTGGTAATTTGAATAATCGTGAAGTATGAAAGAACATCAGCACTTTGCTTACAGTCAAACGCCACAGTCTGGTTCAGGGCTTGATGAATTTGAGCTACCCTTGAGATAGTGCTCAGAGGCGTTTGTTTTGCCAAGGAATCGCAATTTTAGTCAATGGGGCAGTGGCAAGGAATTTTTGCTGGCATATCTTATTTGTTTCTCGTAAAATCTCTTGAAAAACCAAAAATTTCATTAAAAAGTTCAAAAATCAATTTTAAGAAAAAGTAGCTAATCAAAAGTCTACAGTGGAGTTGCCTTAGCAAGGTGATGCTTGAAGTTCAGTTAAGCCACACAGAAAATGCTGTTTCCCCTGCCGAGCAGCATCATCAGAGTCTGCCAAGAATATCGTTTCAAATGGGTCTTTTTTTTTTGACATTTTCAATATGGGGTTTCTTTGCGATTAAGGGTTAAAAGAAATCTAAAAAAATTCCGGAACCTCAGTTCACTCCTTACTCTCAAAAAAAGCATTAAAAAAAGTAGAAATGATTGCCATTGGCCCATAGAAGGATGAACACCTGAAGAAAAAGGTTCATGCGTATCTGTCTTCTGTCATTTCCAGTGAAATTAATGCTAAAATTTTTTCATTTTCAGTTCTGTGCGTATAAAATTGTTGATGTGAATAGTCAGAAAATTTTGATTACTTTGGTTAGGGGAAATCTGGAAAAGTCAGGAATTTTTGCTGAGTCTGCAGACCCCCTGGACTTGGTTGGCATTTTCCAATTCTTGAGGACAACATAACGTGAAAGAAGTTAATCAGTATGAGAGTCAAACACCCCTAACTGCCTCTCATTTTAAATGAAGTCCTGAGTGGTTTTTGCCTTTAAACACTCCCGTCATACCTGTTCCTAATTTTACATAAATCTCAATTTAACACATGTCACCTCTCCTAAACTATTGCACCTAAGTCTTTTTCCAAAACCTCCAGTTCAGACAAGCTACCTTCGTTTCTGTGCACCCAGCCAATAATTGAACTACTGAAAGTTTGCATCTCAGCAAGTGCATCTGAATCAAAAACAGTTCTTCAATAAAGGAGGGAGAGATGAGTTTCACTTTTTGTTCAACCTTGTCTTCTTCACGATTTTCTATCTAGATTTATCACCGAGTCAGCCAAAACTGTCGAACGGTGACAGCATAGAGAAATTAATGCGTAGTGCCTCATTAGACTCTTATCCTCTGGATAGTCTTGGAAGTAGACAGAATGGCGATGAATGCAGCTCACCAGTCAGTGGCCTTTTGTTACCGCAGTTTGGTCAAGTGAGTAATTTCCTTCTGTACTTCTTATTTTTCCGGCCTGGATAGTGATATTAATTACTGTATTATTATTCTTTCAATATTTCTGTGTCAGTTTTAGTCTTTGGTTGAAAGCGGAATTCCTAAGCACATCAAGTTTCAAATTTGTTTATATGTTTTTTTTTTAAATTTTTTTAGCGCTCATTTAGACTCCCTTGTAGGTATGTTGCAATAATTTTTTTATTTGGTTTGTTATTTCAGGAAATTACTCTGCTGTTATTTTAGTAGCAACTTCTACCTGCATTCAATATGTAAATAAATAACTGAATTAATGTATATCCATTTGGATATTATAAAAGAAAATGTAATATAATAACTAAACTGTGTGTAATAAAATGTGTGTACAAATAAAGTGTGTAGAACAACAAAATTGTTCCTGTCAAAAATTTTTTTAAAAAGTGTGTTGCCTTTGTTAAAAATTTTACCATGAGTACTTTCAGAGAACCTGAATCATTTTTCTGTTCTAGGCAATCGATAGAGTGACCAGACAAACACCAATCAAGCCTCTTGTAACCGATCCTGTTTTTCACCTCCTTTGGCCTCAACCACAAAATGTAACGGAATTGAAAGGTGCACCATTTTTTCCAAAGTCAGCACTCTTTGTATCTGTCATTCAATCGAGGCATCATTCCATTCACAGGTATTGAGGTTTGCCGTACATTATTCATATTATTATCTCAAATTGAAATACTGATGCACAAAAATTGAATTTTTAGCTCCATCACTCAACATAAATGAGGACCTTTACAACCAAACAGCACACAGGTGTATGTGCTGTTTGCTCCGTAACTAATCCATCGTTTTTGTCACCCTACAAATTTCATACTGGAAACATATTTCAAGACTGATCTTCATCGTCAAAATTTTGTTCAATATAAACTTATCCATTAACTCCCCTTCTCATTGATATTCACTCTCAAGTGTTGATAAGTGACAATAATGCATTAGGAAATTATCTTAGTAATGAAATAATTTGGTGCTGAGTTATATTTGTAGTAATATCAAATAAAACCAAAATATGATCAAATTATGACCTTTCATGGTATTGATAAGTCAAATCGACAAGATAAGCAAACAAGAGAAGAATGTATGATCGTTTTTTGTTTGTGTTTTTGACAGGGTTCTTGATGTTTGGGAGCGGGCAAGGCCTGCTCTTTTGGCATTGAATCTGAATGTAACAGTGAAAGACGTTCAACCGTATTCAGGCCAGCTCACTGACGCGCAAATTGAATGCATCATCAATCCACATCTTTTTACCATGTACAATGCGTACCAAATTCACATCTCGCCCCTTAAGGTTCATTTTTTCGCTTCCATAGCTCATATTTTTATAAATTCGGTTTCATTTTATTGCATGGTCATGTAAAAATAATTAAAAAGATTGAATTTGAAACTCAAAATTAGGTCACGAAATTAAAAAATGAGGAGGCGGCTATAGAAACAGCCCATATGAGTATGAGCTGTTTTGTTTTTTCACATTGCAAACAATTACTCCACTCCAAGAGTATAACTTTTTTTAATATGAAGATGATCTAATAATTCTACAGCTCAAAAAGTCAATTTGTCTAGCAAGAAAAGCAGGGCATATGGGCACTTATCCTGGTATCAGCGCCGAGCAGCAGAGCGGCCGCACTGGGCGCAGACTTGTGCAGGAATCTCCAGATAAAATAAATAAGTCAAAAGTAAAGTATCATAAAATCAATAATTCAGTAAATGAGTTGCTCCAAATAAGTCAAATAAATCGTTTATTTCTCAGAAATGTTGAATTTCACAATCATTTTTCACCATTTATGGTAGTGTAAGATCTATTTAAATTTCACTCCACTCCCCTCTATCCAACAAAGGAATGAAAATAGAGCAGTCAACACAATGTTTTTAAATAAGCTACAAGTTACCCTAAATAAAATTAATCATAAATCTTCATTCAACTCCTCTTTGAAAAAAGTTCTATGAGATAGCAGGAAAACTCATTCATTTTCTCAAAAACACAACGACTTATTGATTTTTAAACTCCCAATGCGTTTTTCTCAAACAAGGTCCAAGGTTTTTGCATATGGGCTGTTTCTGCAACCGCCTCTTCAATTTGTGTGTAATGAAATTTTGTGCTGGATGAATCCTTTTCACCTAAGCTAAGCAGAACTCAACTAACTTCATTAACTTCTCAAACTAAGTTGGGAGCCAACAAATTCGTAGCTCTCGTATGTACTTTGTTAGAATTAAAATAAACAATTTTAGTTGAAAGTGAATCAAAGAAGGAACAAAGGAATGTTTAAACTTTTGAGATTTGAATTGCGAAAGCCTTTTGTTTTCGAAATTGAGCTTTTCTCCAATAAAATATTATCTTATGTAATACACATTCAAAGTTTTACTTCATACAGTTTTTCAAGTGCATTTGATTGATTGATTTATTTACACAATGCACGGAAAAAATCAACTAACAAAAGAAAACAAAGCAATATGACAATAGATAGTTAGCTTAGAAAAGAATAATATGTGAAGCCAACAGAGGAAAAATCTTTCTCTTGAATTTTGTAGAATAAACAGTTTAAATTGAATGTATTTTTTGCCTGGATTTCAGATTACGATCTCGTGTGAAAGCTTATCTAGTCTGCACTATGCTTTGAACACACTTACGCAATTATTCCAAATAGCTTCCCGGCTGAACAATGTCATATCCGTCTCTCCTGCCCTAATTTACGACTATCCATCCATCAAACACAGAGCAGTACTATTAGATATTTCACCCTCCAGTCGAGTTCCGTCCATGGTGAGTATTGTTTCCTAATTCTAAGTTGAATCAACAGATTGTTCCTTAATATACTTGTCACACACCCTCGTTGATTTGGTTGTCACCAAGTAGGCATGATCTATAAATACTTTCATTATTTGGGAGAAGAAGTATATGCCACAGAAAAACTCATGCAAAGTTACTTTTTCTAAAATGGAATAGTGCCAATGTAGATGGATTCTGTTAGCTTTATATTTCAAGTGCTAGAATTGAATGTAATAATGATCTCAATGGACAGCGCAAATAATTTCTTACAGAACTCTTGACATTCTAAATGGATGTAAAAAATATGCTGTTGTGATATCTTTGTGCTGTATCTTGAACAATACTCATAGATTGGTTGTAATAGTAGCTACTGAGCCCCAAAATTTTGTTTAAAAAACCAATCGAAATTATGTCATTTTAAAAAGATTGTCAATGTTTGTTGGTAGTATCTGAGATCATACCTATTTTAATGGGTTGGTAAAATTGTCAGTTACCAGTAACCAACACAGTGCCTTTCTCACGGTCAATTTTGCAATGAAGTGCCTTTCTTGCCATCATGTCAAGAAGTCTTAGTCAAAAGTGAAATCATTTTCATATAGTGGGGCCGATAAGCATAACAATCGTGCACTTCTGGAAGAAAGCATGAAAATTTCAGGGATTCATCTCTACCCTATAGACATTCGATTCAGACATAGACCCCAAAAATCTGAGCCCCCTGGGGGGGCAGGGGGGCCCCCAAATTTTGAATTTTGAATAACTACTGAACGGCTAATGTTAGCGTAATTTTTTTTAAGCAGGACGATAGGAAATTTTATTAGGAACAAAAATGGTTCCTATGAATTTTTCTGTGGGATCGATATTTAAGGCGTGAAACAGGAAAAACCATCGGGGGACGGGGAGCCGGCCGTTCTGAGGCAGATCCGCGCGCTGCGCTGTTTGCCCGGTACGCGCGCGGCGGCACAGTA